GCAGTGCGGGAGGGATGATGAATGACTAAGGGCTCACCACTACGTGTCCTTACCTGAACGTATTACCGAGATACGCTCACTCGTGAGGCCTGCTGGCATGTCATTTTCATAAACCTGAGGAGACCTATGTGACTTAGGTCATGGTGTGTTTCTTTATGAGTGTGTGTGAGTGTGAGCATTAGTATGTGTATGTGTTTGCGCAGGAGTGTGTGTGTCTGACAGTATGATTGCGTGTATGCATTTATGCATTTGAGTGTGTGTCCACACGTGGGTGTTTGCATCTTTGTACAAGTGTGTGGATGTGTATTTGTTTATGTACAGAGTGTGAGCTGTCTAAGACATTTGCTTCATGTAATCTTTCTTACTGATAAAAAGTCTTTCCAAACCTCAGGCTTGGATACCATTTGGAACTTTTGCTTTGTCAGGTAGAAAGCTGCACAGTCGAATACTCCATATTCTTTAGATTGTTGCAGAACATACTTTCTTATGTCACAAAGACTGAGCTTCTCTAAGTATTAAGAAAATTTAAGGTATATAAGTATTTGCATAATAAATTCATAACATTTAATTCACAGTCATTGTAACATTTTTTTTTATTACTGGGGCAAAAGTTTATTCTTTCTTGGCCTTGCCACTGAGCTGTGATGTGACTGCTTTAAAATAGTGCTTAGGTTTCCGAGGGTTAGGTGAATAAAGTACTGGATGTTGTGAAAATATACAGTTTACATTTTTCTGATAATTGCAGGGGGTTTTGTATCTTTAGCTTTGCAAACCAGGACCGGACAAGGCCCAGCAGCTGGGAAACAGCCTGTGATTACGATAGAGATGTTCCTTAGTCACAACCTGGGATTACTGAAAACGACCAAGCCAACGTGAAAGAGGAGAGAGGGCGTAAGAATACACAGGGCAAGGATGCTGGGGGTAGCTCCGGTCTCAGGGAGGGTCTGTGGGAAGAATTAACCTGATGAGTGTGTTGGACCCACTTCTTGTGCCTGAACCACGTGAAAATCATGAAGCTGCTGGCCCAGAGCATGGGCCCGAAAAAGAAAATCTCAGGGAATCATTGAAATGCTGTAAAAGTATGTTCTGCAACAATCTAAAGAATATGGAGTGATTTTGTCCAGAAAGGCAGCAGGGCAGAACCCAAAGTCTTTTTGTGATGTGTTTGCTATTGCATTCGCCAGTTCCATGAAGAGGAGAACATCAGGTTATTACAGTGCATATAGCAAATGTAGTACCACACATTGGGAAGCTGATGTGCCTGGGAGGGTTTACTCTAATCTCTGCCCACCTGGAATACCTGCGGCTGACTGTGATCAACTGCAAAGTGCTCAAGAGTCAGGGGGTGTCCCTGGACACGCCCTTTCCCACACTGTGCACAGAGAACAGATTTGCACACACTGTCACTGAGGAAATGTGTCCACACAAAACCTGCCATGGCATTGGTGACTTTTGTCAAGAGAATAGCCAAGAACTTGGCTCAGGTCAGGTGTTTGGAGAGTGAAAGCTGTGGACCTGAACTTGCATCCCGTGAAGTACAGGAAGGTCAAATGGTAGAGGAGAGAGAAGGTCCCCAGGAGTCCAGCTTTCGTCCCTAATGAGAAGCTCATTCCTATCACCACATTCCTGGAGGCCCTTCTGCCTGTCTCAAGGGACTGTCGCCCGTCTTCATGGCCAGAGGGTCCTACGTGGGAGCGTGAGGCATGTGCTACACGTGTTGTGTCAACTGTAATTCAATATTCTACCTTTACTACTACTTCCTATTGTTGGTTCACATACAATGTTGTTGTTTTATGTGGACAGTGGAAACCTAGTTTAACCATGTAGTTTAATTTTCAACAGGTTCTTTCCCCTTATTTTTCTATTAAATTAGTGGACTGTGAACTTGAACCGTACCAGCCTCCAGCACACTCTGTGTTCCCCTCAAGTTCCCTTTGTCCTTCAGATGTTGAATGTTGGGCTGGATGAATGTGGAACTTTGCTCCAACTGAGCCGTCTGCCCTTGATGTTCAGACTGCGCAGAGCCGTTTCTATAGCTCACCATCTCTCATTTCCCAGGCCAGTGATGAAGTCTCCTCAGCGTTATATTTGTGAGTTTAATGCGAATTTCTAAGAAAAAAGGAATTACATTTTTAAAATCATTGCGATGAAAACCATGACGATACATCTCTTTTGGTCAGGCGTACAGAAGATCATCTGAAACATTTTGGGGAAGGAGTGGACGGGAAAACGCTGCTGCCCCGTCCAGGCTCTGCCCTTCCCCCTGGCCTTGCCCACTCGCCCTCTTGCCCACTCGCCCAGTACACAGTCACAGGCAGCGGTGAGAGGGGGGTCGAGCACTTTACAGCTGCGATTGAAAGCATCTCTCCAATCAGGAGAGGATGCTTGGCTCTAGAAAGGGAGGCCAGAAAAGGCGGGGTTGGCAGTTTGAGGATCGAGGCTCCAGGAATGGGAAAGAGAATCACTGGACACTCAGAGACTGGAGAGAGGAAAACACTGGCCGCCGTGACCTGGTTTCCTCGTGGCCAGCAGTACCGGAGAGGACAGGCAGAGGTGTACTTCAAGGGCAAGGTCGGCCTGGCCCGCGTGTCCCATGGCTGCCTCGTCGTGGGAGACTCCCTAGGGTGCAAGGACATTCTGAAGAGCGGAGGAAACCCACTGGAGTCCCCTCCTAGGTGCTGTGTGTGGCACCCTCGGTACAGCGAAGAGCGGAGGACGACTTTCCCACGCGCTGAGCCCTTTCCCGTGTGTCTCGTTGGGCACAGAAAGTGTGCGTGGTTCTTTGAAGCCCTAAAACAGGCGCCCTCTTAACTCTCAGGAACTGTCAGGAGTGATCCTACCTGAGAGAGAGGAAAGAGTCCTGTATGGGGAAGAGGGAGGAACCGGTGGGCGGGCTGGCGATTCCCAGTTAAGTCATGTTCTTCGTTTGTTTCTCCCTTTTTTTTACCTCTGTACATTTTTATCAGTTTAATGAAATAAAAGGCAGGCTTCTTTTTCTTCCTTAAAAGAGTTTACGTTACAAAGAAGGATAAATGGCTTGACATGTTTAAAGAACTCATCCAAATCAATTTTAGAAGAAGACGGTTTCATTTGTTGGCTTTTTGGACCTGCCTGTGCCTTCGGTCCCAGGCTGACACCGCTTGGCTTGGCCTCGTGTCCCTGGAGCTCTGTGAGGAGGCCTGCTGTTATGTCCTGAAAGGAAAAAACCAAATGATTGGGGTCTAGTTTCAGCATTAGAGCCTGGCTTCAATTACTTTAGGGTTCGTTCCAGTTTCCCCTGATGCTAGCAAGCATGTCCCAACTTCAAAGCGAATGTTGATCTTGCTGTCTTTAGGGAGACTCTTGGATCCAGGCACCAGCCTGCAAGTGGGGACATTTTCCCCAGAAAAGTTTGACAACATCTTCAGGCAGCCAGGCCACTGGAAAAACTTTCAACGTCATTACTTCACAGTGCTGGCGAAACACAGATGGTATAAGTTCTTCAATAAGCCAAGGAAGAAAAGGGACCATATCATACACAACCTTGCTCCAGACCCTGTGTGCTTCATACACCGCTCTCTCCTCAAAGCCCCCACAATTTTTTGAGGTAGCTGGATTCCCATTTTACAGATGAAGTTGGCTCAGAGAGGGTTAGCGAGTTGCCCAAGGTCACAGAGGTGGCATGTGTTTTCCAGTATCTGAACCCAGGTCTCTCTGCCTAAAAGACCTCAGAGGGGGACTTTTCTGCTTTGATTTCTCTACAGAACTTTGAAACATCCCTACTCAGGGCCTGATGGATCACAGGATTGTGTGGTCTTTAATGGATCAGCTGGTCCAGAGATTCTCCACTTAGTGACTGTAGGTTAACAAATGTCATTTTATGCAAGAAATGACATTTTAATACCAGGAAAATACAAAGAAAATAATTCATTTCTTCATTCATTTAAGACATATTAATTGATTATGTTTAAAAAGCACTTAAAATCTCTAGAAATAATCCTAAAAGTATACATTAAGGGAAAAACACATATTTAAGAAAATCTAATAAAACTAGGCAAGAAATGTGTGAGTCTGTGGTGTTTGAATCAAGATCCTTTTGCCTCACCCCCTTCCAGCCCATTTTTCCTCCTGTCACGTGTATGGATAACAGAGCAGCTGTAATTCGGGATTCTGTGTGTGTTTCCGAGGAGCTTGTGTGCAGACCCAGCTCCGGGGGCATCAAGAACTGTGAGGAGGAGCAGCAGGAGGAGCTGTGGGCCGCAGGTCTGGCTGGGGGAGGCATTTGAAGCAGAGTCTGTGAAAGCTTCTAGTCAGTTTGTTTTTTTAGACTGAGTCCCTCAGGGAAGGAAGGAGACCGCAGAGGTTGAGGGTGGCATATAGCAAGAGAGGAGGAATGAGCTGTGGGAAATGTGTCCACATTTAGCTCCCTGCTCCTCATCAGGAAATGTTTACGGCATGTCCCCTATGTCCTGGACTGTCCTCCTGCCATTCCTATCAGGAGAGGACAGGTAGCCCCTGGCATAGGACTCTGCCACCTCAGCATTTCTCCCCAGTCCTGGTGCTCTTTCCCCATCCCTTCTGCTCTGCCACACGGAGGATCAGAGCACGGACAGCCCTCAGAGCAGCAGATTCAGGCTCTCTCATCAATACTCTAAAATGTGGATTCTCTTTGTGGCAAGGAGCGTCAGCAATCAAATAATCGAGTCATGGTCTCCAAGGCAACTAGCCACTCAGCTGCCCTTCATTCAGTTCCCTCTGCCCGCTTCCTCCCCAGAAACCCTAAAACATTGCGGACACCCTTTGAAACCCTTGATGCGGCCCACCTTTTACAGGACCCCACGCACTTCCTAGGAAGTAGGAATCTCTCGGGGGGATCCTTAAAACTCCTGAGGTTATCGATGGAGGTGTGTCACCCTCTTCTAACTCCACTTGGACCCTGACCCTGTGGACTGACCGCTCCTCTTGACCTTGTCCCTTCTGGGACAGACTTTGCCTTGCCCTCCCTGCCCCACAACTTACAGTCAGGCCGTCCGCTTCCTGTGGACGTAGATGGCAGAGGCACCAACCGCCAGCAGCACCTTGAAGCTTAGGAGGACAGCTGCGAGGAGTTGAGTAGACTGTACCTGGCCTGCAAATCAAGGGGCAGGAGGGGCCATTAGAGGAGACCCTTCCCAGGGTCCTCCGCCTTATCTGATGGTGCCTGCACCCATCAATGCTCTGAAACAGCATTTGAATACTAAACTGGTCTCGGGCTCAAGGCAGAAATCAGAGTAAAGAGGTTCGTCCTCAATCAGTGTCTGCTTGGCTTGCCAGGGTTGTCTTCCTTGGGGGAAGGGGTGCAGAGAATGGCTACTCAAGAACAGGAAAGTGCGGCACCTGATTAACTGATTTGGTCTCACACCCTGTGGGGCAGGCAGCATTACCATTACTCTGATGAGAAAACTGAGGCTCAGAGTTTATGGAGAGTCACAGATTAATGGGATTCGAGCCTGGAAAATCACATTACTGTTGACTCAAACGATGACCCTAAGACCTTGTCTTTTGAATGAAGACAAGTCCAACCTCTCAGTGTTACAGGAACAAATGTCAACAGGGCATTTGAGGGGAGTGAGGACAGATCACAGTGAGAGTTCCAGGGCTGCTCTGTGTGGCACCATGGACAGGGCTGGGTGACCCCAAGTTCTCAGGAGCTGAGGGAGAGCTCATAGGCCTGACTTCATGAAACCTGCTGGCTGGAAAACACCCTGTGATTCAAGGAAATGGGGTCACATGCTTGGGAGGAGCTCAAACACCATTCAGCCCACTTTAACCCCAGTGTCAGCTGAATCTTTCTATTGGACACAGAAAGGTGGACCTGGGAAAGCACACTTTTAGATTCTTTGCAGATTTACAATGAGCAGTTTTTGTTTAAATAAAAATAAAGATATTAAATGATTTATTATAACGAAAATAATCCTTAGGGTAGGACTGAAGATCTCACCATTTTTCTTCTGTGATGTTGGAGAATGGCAATTCTCACCTGAGAGGCTTATGGGGACCTTGCCTCAGTCGAAGAGAGCTTAACTGCAAAGTTTGCACCCGGTTCTGGAGGGCACCCAGATCAGAAGACTGTCTGGACTGGGAGTACAAAGGCATGGCCTACTTCCCTCCATTTAAACAGCTCTCAGAAGCTGTTATCTGTCCAGCTTCTCCGTAGAGCAGCCAAGTCTGGTGCCTGCATTGCAGTTCAGCAAACAGCTCCCTCTGCAGGTCCTGCTCCTTCACTCCCTCAGGCATGTGGATCCTGACAGCTCCCCACAATAAGCTTCCCACATTCTTAGAGCCATTTAGAGTCAGCTTCCCAGGGAAACTGATCTAAGGAGTTCAACTGGGAGTCCTCCGAAGAGCAAACTATAAAACGCAATTTAGAAATTAGATCACTCATCAGCTGGCTGGTCAAGAAGTCCCAGCACTGGCTGGAGTTGGAGCAGAAATCGGCCCTGCTGGCCCTATTGGTGCAATTGTTAAAATTGTCACTGGTGGTGCACTGGGATGCTGTGACCAAAGAAAGGGAATTCCTAGGCATCAGGCATTTGGAAAAGAGTTGGGAAATGGTAACTATATGGACTATGGGATTGGATGGCTGTTACTGGGGCATCAATCTTTTGGAGAAAGACAATGAAAAGCTAAGACTGATTAACTACAAGTAAATATTAAGTGTGAGCCAGAAGATATTTTGATAGCAAGAAAGCTGAGATTTGGGCCAAGGACATAATTCTAGAGTAACAGAGCCTCAGAGGAGGTTGAATTCTCCACTTTAATGGGCCTGCTCAGCCAGAATAGGACCCTGATGGGGAAATAGGGGACCCTGAGGTAGGGGCCTATGGGCCAAAGCACTCAACAGTCTTCAGCCCCCTTCTGGGCTGCTGAGGACAGTAGCAGCAGCACAGCAACTTGCCTCTAAATATGGCCTCTCCAAATCAGAGAAAAACATAAAAGAGAAAATAAACCCTGCACACAACTGGCTCTGTGTTACTTGAAGAGAAAATGAGAAAAAGTCAAAATAGCTGAGAATCAAAGCAGAAAAATCACCAAATCCTAGTGCACAATCTGCCAGGAGGCTGCTGTCCCACAGCCACAAGGAGAGGGGCAGCTGGCAAGGGGCCTGAGAGCTGTTTGGGAATTCCACCACCACCAATAGTAAACCCACCGCCACCTGGCGAAATGAAGTGTCCACAGATCAGAGCACAGATCACAGGGAGAGGTTTAAATTACGCCTGTTCGAAAGGTTGGCACAGAATCCCCATAGTCTGTGACTATGTTACCTTACCTGGCAAAAGGAACTAGTAGTGACTAAGTTAAGAATTCAAACGAGAACTTTATCTTGGATCTTCCTAGTGGAGCCAAGCTACTCACAAAGATCCCACTCAGTGAAAGAGGGAGGCAGGAGAGGCAGAGAAGGAGATGTGATGACAGAAGCAGAGCTGAGAGCGATGTGGGGCCCTTAGCCAAGGGGTGAGGGCAGCCTCTAGGGGCTGGAAAAGCAAGGGTAGGGATTCTCCCCTAAAGCCTCCACAGGAAACCCAGTCCTGCCGACCTGCTGTAGACCTCTGACCTCTAGAGCTGCAAGATAATAAACTGTGTTGTTTTAAGGCACTAACTCTGTGGTCACTTGTTTCAGGACCTTAGGAAAGTAACACAAGGAGGCAGGAACATTTTAAAAGGACAGGTGAGATCAAAGGGACAGGCACAATTTCAAGTGCACAGCTTCTGTGGGGAAAAGGGAAAAGGAGGAAAAGTGCTGTTTGGCAACTGAGTGCTAATGGGAAAAGGAAATCATGTGGAGGTGGGAGATTTAAAGCTCTGAAAGACAAAAAGAATGAAAAATTTGAGGACTCAGAATTTCTTTCTCACTATTGAAACCAGCCATTCAGCATAAATCTGCATCAACATGAGTGGATTATGCTACACTGACAGAGGTGAGGTTCATTCACCTATAAACACTGTAAAACACCCCAATACCATAAATGTGACCAAAAAGATGTTCATTCTTATGCCACACCAATTGGACCAAGTCTGCAGAGGCCTGAACCCTCAGACCCTGGGGTTGGCTGTGGCTTCCCGGTGCAGAGGGTCACACAGGCATCTTGTACTTGGCTTCTCCCAGACAACCCGAAAACCCTTCCCAGCCTTGGGACTGCAGGCGTGCTGGTCAGGCACGCTGAGAGCACCAGCGAGCAACACCTGGTCTGAGCCCCGTGGGACATGGGGACTCAAAAGAAACCCAAGGTGGTCCAGGCAAGGTGGCAGAGACTCTTCCTTGTTCGGTACAACTCTGACCCCTAGGATAACACCAGGCACAAGCATAGGAGGACTCTGAGGTTGAAGGAAAGGCACATGAGCTCGGACTTGGGGACTGGAGGGGAAACACCACATCCAGGCACGGCTTGCACTGTCCTGACTCCCTAGGCACAGAATGCAACCCAGATGTGGCATTTAAAAAGTCTAATATCAATAATCTATGTTCCCACCTCAGGAAACAAGAAAAGGGGGAGCAAAATCAGCCCAAAACAAGCAGGAGGAAGGAAATAATAAAGGAAAGGGGAGAAAAATTAATGAAATTGAAAACAGAGAAACTCACTGAAACGAAAAGTGGGTTCTTTGAAAAGAGCAGTAACATTGAAAACCTTCCATCAAGGCCAATGAAGGAAAAAGGAACATTTCCAATACAATGGGGCACCGCTTCCGACCCGCAGGCATCAGCAGCAGCAGGCGATATTATAGACAACCCTAAGGCAGGCGGTTGTGATTGTCGCTGGTCCATAGTCACAAATTTGCGGGGGGGGGGGAAGGAAAGCCTGTGTTGTGACCACTCATGAGCACTGGGGTGCCCTGTTTAGACTCAAAGTCCGTGTCCTCAGGGCTCCCCTTCTGAAATGTCACAGAGCAGGAGGTCCAGGCATTTGCTGGAGTGACCTTACTGATGCGGATGGAAAAGTCCAGAATGGAACAGAGGCCAGGAGGAGGTTAGAAAGAGCCAGGAGGAGGCAGGGGTGGCAGGGATGGTGGACACATGACTGTTAGGTGAAGAAAGCAAGCGCAGGACACAGAGCAGGGTGGCCTCCTCCCTCCCTGTCAAAATACCTATAAAGATACGTGCCAAACTCTGAGCAGTGGTGACTATGCAGTGTGGGCTTTGGGGGAGGGGAGCTCACTTCAAAATTCTACTTTTTATCAATAGATTTCTAGATTATTCTATAATGAGAATTACCATTTATAACATTAAAAGTAAAGATAAAATCTAAATGGCGTTGGATTAGGTGGAGTGAAGGCCTCTCCCTGGGTTTTACCTTTGTCCCTGTTGTCCTGGTGAGCAGAGGCCCCCAGGGTGAGGCTTTTGGTGACCGCAGGCTGCCCATCGTGCTCTGCCCGGCAGGTGAGCGCCACAGCATTTTTGTGGACAGATAAATTCATGAGGAGCCAGCTTGTCAAGTTATAGGTCCCATCCTGGTTCTCTATGAGGGTCGAGGCCGTTTCTGTTTGGGACACGTTTCCATTCTCCAACCAGGTCAGCTGTAGGCGCTGGGGGTAGAAGTTCTTCACCTGGCAGGTGACGTTCACCTGGTTCTTTGACACTGTGTGTTGTTGGGTAACCTCCACGGTGGGCGGAACTGAAACAGCACAGGGCAGAAGCTCTGACCTCATGGAACAGACAGATCACAGGGGAGCGCTCCCTAACTTAGCTCCCCCACTGCAAGGGTATCAGAGGACAGGCGCTCAGACACTGAGGCTATTCTTTCAGATGAATGAAATCACTAAGCACTGTAACCTGCACACAGTAGGTGCTCAAGAACTGGTAGCTGCTATTAGGGTGATATGATTTAAATCAACCACCACAGCCACTGGCATGCAGCTAGAACATAATAACTTTAGCCAAACAAACGAGATCCCCAAGCACATAAGAGCTTGGCTTATAGCAGGTGCTCAGTATGTGGAGTTGCTATTGGTAAAGTAGATGAAACTATCGAGCACACTGCTTGGCATGTGATAGATTCCACCTGCCAGCTGCCATTAAACAGTGGCCAGTGATGGGCAAATCCATGTGCCTGGCGATGGGAAGGACTGTCAGGAATTAGATTCCAGGCAATTCCAGGCCTGGAGCAAAGAGCAGGGGGAGGAGCAGGCCTGGAGGGCAGGGGCCAGGTGTGGGCTGGCGCTGGGTGTGAGGGGCATCTACCTCGGATGATCTCAGACAAGTTGGCAGTCCCACGAAGAGGAGTGTCTCCCTTTAGGGTGTCGTGGGCCACCTGGCAGATGACCTGGGAGCGAACATCCCCCGGGGCCAGCACCACCGTGGCTGTGCTGGAGATGCTGTAGGAAGGGCTGTCTCCCTCTGGGTCCACGGTGGTCTGGGAGGCTGGGAGCTCATTCCCATCTTTGAACCATTTCAGGATGATGTTTCTGGGGGAGAAGCCGTGGGACTTGCAGGTGAAGTTCACTGTCTGCCCAGGTGTGGACCTCCCCGTGGGGCCTGATACCTCGGGGGGAGAGGGTTTGGCTGTAACAGGAGCATAATAAACAATGAACATGGTTGTGATTATCACCACTAATGACAAGCATGTGACACTGCCAAGGACCTTCTCATATATTGTTTTTCATGCTTCTAATAATGTGGGGAGGGCGTGTCATCGTCCTCATCTTACAGAGGGGGACACTCATGTCCCCAGAAGTGAACTCTGAGCGGGGAGCAGGTCTGACAAGCAATTGCAGGCCTGAGTTCAAAGTCCACCTTCTTTCCTTGCCTGGTGATTTCCCACCAGTCTGTGCACAGGAACAGAATTACTGATGAGTCTCATTTTTGTACTAACTGTTCATAGCTGGCCTCCAGTCCTTAAAGACCCCTGAATGGGAGCCATGATGATCATACTTCATCAAGCGGGAGAACTGAGGACTTGGGGGAAACAGACTTGCCTAAGAGCACACAGCTGTGGGTTATAATACCATGGCTCTTCTCTCACCAGGCTCACCTGAAAGTATCCTGTAAAGGTTGATTTTATTATATTATCAATATCTGATTAATCAAGAATTTGATTAATGTTATATTATTAACCTATTATACAAACTTTTTGCAGGTGAGGAGCTGAGTCCCAGCAAAGTTTACTGGGTCTTGACATTAACATAACACCTTGATTTGGGGGTGCTACTCTGCTGGGTGATTCAGACAGAGCACCTCCAGTCCTTTCCACTCTCCTAAAAGAAGTCCATGATTATCACCATTTTATAGATGAGAAAACAGGCTGAGAGAAATGAAGGGCCTGTCCCCTTGCTCACTACTGTGTCCCAGAGGTATTTCCTATGGCCTCCCAAATATTCATGTCCATCAACAGAGCAAATGCCCACCTTCAGGATCCTGACACTGACTGCCACCCTTTCCAGGGAGGAGCGGCCTCAAGTGCCCAGGTCTGGGGACCCTGTAGCAATAAATGGAAGAATGGACTCCTGACAAGTGAGTCTAGAATATGAACTTTTGCTCACTTAGCGCCCCAGTGCCCTGCAGGAAATGCCCCACCCCTCCTCATCCTCAGTCTGCAGAGACAGGAATGGTGCAGTGTCCCTCTCTGCTCTCTCCAGGCTCTGCGCCCAAGCTGCTCCTGCAGGCTTCTCAGTGAAGGGGAAACAGCACAGCAAAGGGAAAAGCCTCTTGAATGCTTCTATATGCAGTCATGTCATTTAGGGATAGTTTCAGGACATATCATAGGACATTTGAGTATCTATCTCATCTCTGTTGTAAAGCTAGATCTGCCTCCTTCACAGGACCTTTTAAAAAATGTTTCATGCTTGAGAACATAAAATGACATGATTTTAAGAAATGGGTTGGAGCTTTCTTTACACTTTGACAAGCACAGTGAGGTGTTGCAGAGAGTAGGGGCTGTGAGTTATGCTGCTTGGGGTTCAAATCTCAGTTCCCCTTCCTGCTCAGTTCAGGTCCCCTCTCTGAACATCAATGCCCTCATCTAGCAAAGGGGCAACAGATGACCCCCTCCCTCACAGCACTGGTTATAAGAGTAAATGCCAAGAGGAAGACCTGGCCCTTGACCTCTCCTACCTCCCTGCTTTCTCAGCCAGGGCATCAGCTGGGCAAATAGCTTAGGGAAGGGCAACGAGCACTCTACCAGGAGGCAGCAGATCTGAGTGGTGATGGAGCCACTTACTCCCTGTGATTGCCTAGGCAAGGGGCACACCACCTGGGAACTTTTGTAATATCCTCCAAATCCAAATAAAGCTACCTTCCCTGCCTGTGTGCAGGGGCTATCATTTCTAGAAGGAAAATTTGGCAATATTTACACAAATTAAAATGCACACACCCTGTGACCTAGTCATGCCACTTCCAGTGGGCAAAACCCTTTTGATTAAGGTGGCACATGGAGAAGGGTATCCTGTGCATCACTGTTTTAATAGCCCAAGGTTGGGAACAACTCTTACCCATCAACAGAAGTCAGTCAATGAATGGTGCTCTCTCCACACGCTGGGGGGTGAGGGAGCTGTGGCACGAGGGGCAGCCCTAGGCGCTGACATGGATGCTTGATTTGGGGCGATGTGGCTGAAGGTGGAAGAAGTTCCCAACCACCTTGGGCTTCAGGGTCTGAATGGGAGGGGCATTCTGAAGCTTCGGGGTACCAGTGAAAATAAGAAATGCTAGCTCTCTGTTCAGTGGTGTGCTTTAATAAGCTTTAATTCAGTGCTTACATGCACCAGATTCTTTGATGGAAAGAGTGTCTATCTCTGGGAAAGGAAAAAGCTTGGCACACATCAGATTGGGTTCTGGAACAATCTCCCCACTCATTGGACATGTGACCTTGGGCAAAACCCTTGTCACCTGTTGATCTCAGGCTCCCATCTGTACATGAGGGGTTGGGCTGGGTGGTCTAAAGGTCCTTGTGTGCTCATATTACAGGATTCAGAATCCTGGGCCTCTGGCAGATAACAGCAAATGAAAACTGTGTTGCCTCAAAGGGGTGACCCTTAAGTCACCCACATGGGGATCCTCTTTCTTGGGTGAGGGACATTCTGAGATGACCCAACTCTGCTCGGAGCCTCAGTGACAGTGTGACTAGATTTCTGAAATAAAGGGTTTTTTTCAGACAGACCCACAGTGATTGCCCACTTCTGGGCATCTCCTCCCACCAGGCTCTCAGAGGAAACAGTGAGTCTGCGCCTCTCAGGATTTCCTTCTCGTGTGATGTTTCCAGGGATGAAATAAAGAAGCATGTTCTCCCCCGTCCCATCCTGGATGGATCTGTCCCTGTTGGAGGGGAAAGAATGAAGCTTCGTGGGAGAAGAGCCTTTTCCTGCTTTGTTCTGCAGCTGCCACAGCACCCAGAGCAGAGCCTGGCTCACAGCAGGTGCTCAGGCAGGTCACTA